CACATAGAACAGACTGACATTAGAAATTTTTTAAGAATTAAAAAACACACATAAAATTAGTGTTTAGGGTCACTTTTTTCTTAACAGAGGGAAAAGATAATCACATTCCACAAAAAAATTACAAAAGAATGTTTTAAGTGTTTATCAATGATGGACTACGTAAATTTTGCTAATATGTCTTAGTGAGTATAATATGGCAGTGAAAGTAATGATATAGATCCAAATATGGATTTGATATGGATGTTTTATGGGAAACTTTGAATATAGTTTAAAATTTTATTTGGTCTACTAAAATCTATTCAGCGTGTAAAATTGTTAGTAATTTTGTTTATTTAGCGACTTGTCTAAATTTTGTTTCACTGGCAAAAATTTATCCAACATTTACTTTGTTCCGGACATTGTTTTATGTGCTTTGTAAGTATTCATTTAATCCTGATGATAACTCTATGAGGTAGGTGTAATTATTACAATCCTTATTTAACAGAGGAGTAAACCGAGGTATGAAGTTGAGCATCAGTTATACTGTCGTTTAGCGAGCAAGTGGTAGAGTCAGGGTTGGAACGCGGATAGCTGGTTAAGTCTTTGCCCTTAATCACTCTGCCATGTTGCCATGTTGAATCCAGGGCCCTTGGTATCTATCCATTTTTCTTTTTATTGTATTAGCCAATTATTTCAATTTTTCATCAGAAGGAAAGCTTTCTGAATCTGGCATTGATAATTAATTTTATACATTTTAGAAAAATAAACTTAAGGACTACTGTTAAAAATAACTACAGTCTACATGAGGGGCTGTGTATATTTTTTAAAACAATACTCTGAAACTATTTATTGTTATATGAGATTTTCTTATTGGTGATGGCTTTTTCACCCAATACCTGCTGATCTTCCATAATGCTAATACACACCTAATGTTGACACTTGCTAGACTGCCTTTGCATGCATAAATATTAGACATACTGAAATTTGATTTTGGCTCATCTTTTACTTTGAATAAAGAGATCTAAAAATCAATCCTTACAGCTGTGTTTCATTTTCTATAAATAAAGGTCAAATATATCAGGGCAAGGATAGTATTAAAGGTAATCTATGATGTCAAGGTAAAATGGATTAGTAAGCAGTTTTTAAAATTCCGATTTTAATAGGACACACAAACTTTGTATATTTTATTTTTCACTGTCTTGCAACAGACCAATGTGAAATCAGCAGCAGTTCCTCCTGTTTAATTTCATTTCTCTTGTAAAGAGCTTGCAGTTCCAAGATTTGAGTTCAAGTTTAGCTACATGACTTCGAGCAAGATATATTTTTTATAAACTTTAATTTCCTCATCTGTACAGCAGAAATCTTATTCCTAATTCATAAAGTTGTGAGAATTGAATAGGATAATACATTTAATCTATTTTGTTAATAGAAAATGCAATTTATTCAAAGTGTCATCAAATACTATTAATTCTGCTTGATTTCTCATCCATTGGTGAGGCTGGGTGTGGCAGTGGGTCACATGCTTGATTAGGATTTACTCTAGTGGGCTCGAGTCTAATTCTAAGATTCGCTATGCAAACCAGGACAAATGTCTGGGACTCCAATTCTTGAACAATCAAAAGGTTGGACTAGAACTTGAAGGTCCTTATCAGGTCAGAAGTTCAAAGTTCATGATGTTCTGTACCACATGTGGTCTAGTGATCTGAACACAAGCTGGGATCACAAGTTTTAGACCTGAAGTTTTTGACACTGATTAGGTATGAGGATGAAAATTATACAACTTTAAAAGCACCTAGCTTTCTTCTTTTAAAAATGAGAATTGGCGTAACTATGCAAAGGCTCTCATTCAAATTCAGTTTTCAATCTTTTTTTAAAACAGCGACAGAATCTTTTTATAGGTAAAATTATGTGGTGAATCCAATATGCAAAATAAATATATCAAATACACAAAATATATAAAAAGGTCGATTCTGTCTTAAATTAAAGACCTAGCTATCGAGCTCATTGTCTTCCTCTCTAAACCCACCCTTCTTTTTTCCTTGTTACACAGTTGCTTAGGACTTAATACCTATGAATTATCGTGGACTTTTGTTCATACCCACTCTAATGTGCCAGTGATCACCAAGATAATTTTACCTCCTAAGTAACTCTTGGTTCTCTCTTCCCGCCTATCTACCTCCACTGCTACTCTGTTCCAGCAACCTTATTGCTTGGACTATTATAATAACCATGGACTTGGTCTTCCTGCTCCCTGTCCTTCACTCTCTGATCCATCTCACTGCTGCCAAGTGATCTTTATGACATGCGAACTTGAATGCACCCATTTCTTCCCCCACTTAACCTGCCACAGGGAACCCTAGAGCACGCTGATGAAATAAGAGGGCTCTGATAAAAAAAAAAATTTAAAAAGACTTGGAGTTACAGCCATCTGCATACATTCTACTTCATTTTCATAGAGTTAAATTGGGAAGGAACATCAGAAATGCCCTCTAGGCCAAATTTCTACACTTGAGCAATCCGCTTTACAGTGTTGCCTTCTTCAGGTAAACTTTAGTTTTTCAATGCTTTCCTTACCCTTTTGAAACTGCAGTCTAAGTTTATAAATTTATAGGAGCTTATATATATATTTTTGCCAGCCATATATTAAGTTGTGTCATAGCATGCACTTGTAGCCCATTGAACTCATATAATTATTGTAGCTTTACAATAGTTTTATAAAAATACATTTAATATCTGCCAGGGAAAATCCCTGTGCAGTTTTCTTTCTAAAAATGTTCATAGTTATACTGGCACATTACTCTTCCAGATGAACTTTAGATTCATTTTGTCAAAAAAATTCTATCAAAGTTGTCAACGAAAAACCTTTAACTTTGTAGATTAAGAAAATTGACATTTATCCAATATTAAGCCATCTCAATAACTGGCTATGCCTTTTCATTTATCTTATTTGCTCAAAAACATTTTGTATTTTTCTGCATATAGATCTATATATTTTTGTCTATATATATGCTTAATTTATTCCTAGATATTTTAGATATTTTGATGCAATCATGAGTGCTACTTAAAAATTGTACATTTCTAACAGAATATTGATGATATTTAGGAAATATACTGTCTTAATGTATTTCTTTATCTGCTTATTTTGTAGAACTCTATTATTAGTTCAAATACAATGGGTCCTTGATTTTATATCAAAGCCTTGTGGATTTAAAAATATTGCCTCTCTTCAAGATCAATTATAATTGTTAGGCAGTGAAATACATTTTATTTTTTAGAGTTTCTTCACTCTTAGTTTATTTTTCCAGTTAAAACCCATGTCTGTGGGATCACAAATATATTTTTTATGAACTTTCTGAGTGTAGGATTTAACATTTAACCTTCTTAATTTTCTCTTTTTCAAGTCTAGTGTACTCAGAGGAAATGTTTGATGCCTCTTTCATAGAGCAAAAATGCCAAATACCGTGATCGTTACTATAACAGTGAATTTGATCTTTTCCTCTCAATGTTTTTCAGACTCCCGATGGATGTGACTTATACAACATAGCTAGGCTGTTGAAGTTTTTGCTGGATATTTTAAAAATATCCCCTTTCCTTCATCATAAAGATACTTGTTCTCACATAAAATGAGCTGAATTTTATCATTTGTATAAATCCAGCTAAATTACTTCTATAAATAGCACAATCTTCGTTATTCATCATTGTCAGGAAATGAGCTATTTGGGTAAGTAAATTTTCTGAGGACATTATCTTTTCAAGGGTCAGAACTTCAAATTTATTTTAGATTGACATGTTTTCAGAAGATATGCAATACTATATATATGATATTTATTTTCCAACGGTGGTGACCAGCTTCTTTAAAAAACTGTGGTGGAGAAATTTAACCATTAAATGTAAAAGAGGATGAGAGAGAACTGATGTTGAAAACAAATACATTCAGGCTCTCTTAAAAATATTTTTACATGACAACTGTGTGTTTAAATAGTAAGTGAATATCCTCACTAAACGAATACAGAGTAATTAAATTAGGAGAATATCAATGACATTTTAGAAATACTAAGTAACGATGGGTAGTTCGTACTAATTTTTACTTACTATCCCTTTGTGATTGGAATACCCTCTTCCCTTTACTGAGAAGCTTAAACAATAATTAATTTTATTTTGTTGCAGATAATATGCTTCTAGGTGGCACCGCCAGTTTTCCTAACGGGTTGTTATTGGTTGAATTTTGACCCTCCTCCTCCAGCTTCATATGTTGAAGTCCTAATCATCAGTACCTCAGGCAGGGCCTTTACAGAGGTCATCAAGCCAAAACGAGGTCATTAAGGTGAGACAGACACGCACGCACAGAATGCCATATGAACATGAAGGTGCAGATTGTGGCGATGCATCTACATGCCAAGGAATGCCAAAGATTGCTAGCAAACCACCAGAAGATGGGAGGTATGGAAAATATTTTTCCTTACTGCTTGGCTCCTGAAGATAAAAAAGGCCTAGGATATTTGTAGATATGTATTTAGCCACCCTTCAAAGATAATCCATCCATCCATCCATCCATCCATCCATCCATCCATCCATCCATCCATCCATCCATCCTTTCATCCATTCATCTATCTATCCAACCCATCTATCCATCCATCCAATATTTATTGTCTACCATGGGCTAGGCTCTGGGGATATATAGTAGGTAAAGCAGACTTTGACTTTATCCTTGTGAAACTTGCATTGCAGCAATTATATACAGTGTTCATGAAATTTGCCAGGATTACATTAGCTTAGTTCATTAAAACTGCAAACAAAAAGACATGAATCCCTCTTAAGCACATCAGCATGTCCTCCTCTTCACTGATCCAATGACGAGACTGCAATTGTAATGCTCAAGTTTATTTTTTCTCATCATGTTTTATTTTCCTTAAGGCTTTTAGCATGTATGTTTGCCAAATCCTCTATTTCCTACCATTCTGTCATTGACTCTTCCTTCATTTTCTCTTTTAATATCCATAATAATGTAGCTTATAGTATACATGTCTCTGAAAGGAAATTATACTGAGTCTAGAAAAGGGCTATTAAGATAAAGGGTCACGTACTAATTCTAGTGGTTGAAGAGGAAACTCTTCATTTATTCAGCAAATATTTATATTTTAACCATTTCCGGTCAATGGTGAAAATGCCCAAGTGAGTGATATGGAGCACAGAAACATCTGAGAATGGATTTTCACTAAAACTTAGTTTCTGGAAAAACCCTACACTGGTCTGCCTTTAGGCCATTGGTTTCTTTCTCATAAAAAAGGTGGAGCGAAACATGTGCAGCTGCAGGACCTCTTGGTTAACTGCCTTTCTACAAATTTAATTAATGAATCAAAGCCGAGTGCTGTCTCTCTCAGGTATTTTCTTGCCCTCATAATTGCCTCACTCACTGCTCTCATCAGCGTCCTTTGACTTACCAGCAACAAAGGAGGCATCCTGTATTATTGCAGCCCAAATGAACAGTGTTTGAACTAGGTGTTCTTGTGGAGAACCAAGGGATCTCTCTTTCTTCTGAAGCAACCTGGCTAGGCCACTGTTTCCTGGACTTGCCTGGCAAGAGATACTGGGAACCTTTATTTTTAATGGATACACCAGGTGATTTCTATAATTAGGCACATTAGGAAAACTCTGTGCTATAGCATTTTGAGGTAAGTCAGTGCCTCCATTAACTTATATCTTGCTCAACACAGGCTTAAATTTTCTAACCTGAAAAATAAACTAGACAGATTAAAAACAGAGAAAGTCACAATGTGACACAGAGGAAAATCTAGAGAACCTGAATTTTAGTTTCTGTTTGCTAGTAGTCCAGAACCAATTCCTTAACTGTTTTGGGTCTTATTTGTAAAATAAAGAGGTTGAAAGAGATTCATTCATTTGTTCATTTAGTGAGTCATTTATCAAATATGGGTCAAGATCCTAGTATGTTAGTTAATGTTCTAGTTCCTGGGGAAACAGTAGAAAATGAATCATTCATGGACTACCTGGCTTCAAAACTGGCGCATTTCTCAGTGCACCACAAGTCTATCCAATATTATCACCTGCTCACATCTAGTACATGGTGGAAAAATATTATTGACTTATCACAGTGATTTTCAGCCCTTTTCATCTCATGGGACATATAAGCTAATTACTAAAATTCTGTGGCATGCCAAAATATATGTTTTTTGCTGATCTGACAAAAATAAGTATAATTTTGATTGATTTACCAAAAAAACCCACCCCAATAATAGTAATAACCTACCCTTTTTAGTTCCAAAGTGACTAAAAAAAAAAATCATGCCTATACCCGTATATAAAGATATCTGGTATGAAGACTTAACCAACCAGATGCAAACTTATTATGCTACATGACCAATAAGATGCAACTCTATTATGTGACCTATATATTTATAGTTCAAGACAAGGCATTCACACTGGACAGCTACTGTTGTGTTGGCTGTTGTCATTTTTTTATTTGATAATCTATGGGAAAAGAGGTCAGTGCTCCTGACTAAATAGTAGGGTATTACATGTTTTAAAAATTCTTGCAGCACACCAGTGTGCCACAGCACACTTGTTGAAAATTGCTGACTTACTATATTATGACTAAAGTGCTTTATTTCACCTCAGAGGAGCCTTGGAATTTTAGTCAAGTTTTGGTTGTTAAATAAAATTCTGAAATTTGTTCTATTGAAAGAAATATTTTCCTAACAGAGGCATGACCAACTTCAGCCTAAAGGCCTTGGTAGACTTATCCTAACTCCAACCAGCTTTTACTTGGCTTTGAGAATGAAATGAGTTGAGAACTGAATATTAGATAACTCCATTCTGGATCCTAGATGTATATATTTAATTATGCTTTTTCTGATGGAAAATTGTAAGATGAACTTTCCAAATAACTTAGTCAAAGATCCTACATTTTTCAGGTGAGGCCACAAAGTGCTCAGGGAGTTATGAGTGCAGGGTTTTAGGTTGAATCACTGGTAAGGTTGAAGCCAGGATGACTATTAATTTTATCCCACTCACTTCAGTATTCACTTCTCATTCAACATGACTTCCTACATTGAATCCCATCAAAAGTTTGGAAGAGTTTGTTTTCAAGATAAAATCTGCAGTAAGATATTACTAAAGCACTCTCCAGGTCTGACCTTTCCTTGATGTCTTCTAGGGTTACAATGTAGACTTTTCAAGACATCTGGCTAATTTCAGAAAGTCCTATAAATTCAAGACCCTAGATTTTAAACAATTAAATTATTTAAGGACTGAAAGGACCTTGAGATGAGAGAGCAACACTTTTCCTATAGCTTTCCTAAGCTGTCTTTGGATCTGGATTTATTGCTATTTGGGGGGAAACTTTAAATTCATGACTTGACTGAGTTATGAAGAGCAGTGGTTTTAGGTGTTTCACTCCCACAGAGCATTGTCTTTAAGGTCAAGAGGATAATTTAAAATTAGAATGGAGATCTGTTAGGAGGAGTGGGATCTGTTTTGAGGGTAATTATCCTTTGTTGGAGCACTGACTTATCCTTAGGCTTTTTAACCAATATGCTGTTATTCATTTGCTAAAGACTAAGAGAAGAAAATCTTGGAAAATTGTAAACTATAGTAAATAGTAAAGTAGGAAAATAATCACATTTTATGTTATCTTAACAAAATATATAAATTCAATAAAATGGGAAATACGTTTCCAAAAGTTGACAGGCTTGATTGAGAACTTCCTGGGTGTGAAATTCTTACTCAAAGTCCTGAGAGGTCAGAGGAAGGGCTTCATGGTGAGCCCAGGTAGAAGTCAAGCATGTCCTCATCCTGCAGTTCTTCAACATCCAGCTGCAATCAGACTGACCATAGTAGAGGGAGAAAAGCATTCTAAAATATATCATTTTGTTCAGGTCATTTTACTGCTCTGATTTTTATTTTGTTACCTACAAAAGGAAGACAATAACACACACAACAGAGCCTGGCTGTTAGGACTAAATAGGTAGTTATAGGAGAATGGTCTTGCACAAGCTTGGCACAGAGTAGGTAGTCAAGTAATATTTCCTGGATCGATGGCCGTGTACAATAGAACCTGCAAGGGCATATTTCTTAAACACAGAAAATAAGGTTTGAATTTACAGGTTATTTAGACTTAAAATGTGTCTTGTTAGGACCAAAGAAATATTGTTGAAAATATGTTGGGTCCATCTTTGACGATACAGGAGTATATCAACTGAGCCTTGGCAGGCTTGGATTAGAGGTACTCAGAGGCTAGTCTATGGAATGATTTGAGGTCCCCACCTGTAGAAATGAAAATGCATAAATGTCGTAACTCTTCTTGTATGTTACTGGGCAGGCAACTCCTGTTCCATACCTCACTCTGCCACCCGCTATCTGATGTGTTGTCACCTTCTCAATTATCTAATCCTTTGCTTTGATTCATTCCTTTACAGTGTGTTTGTCCTCTTGTAAAAGCTACCTGTCTTGCACAGGGTTGGTTATAGACCTCGTATCAGGTTCCGAGGACTGCAAGATTTGATTCCCCCTTCTCCTCAGTATTTTATGATGATTTGACATTGGCGAGAAAACAGGCAGCCGTTGTTTTATTACAGATGTTACGGCACTGCAATAGGTCTCCGAGGTTAACACAGCAAACAATTGTCCTTTTGTCTTAGCAGTGTTTCCATTTTGATATACGTTTTTGGTACCAAAGATCACAAAAAATCAGGAAAAATTACAGAAGAGTGAATAATTGGGCTAGTTATGGTTTTTAATCAATTTTCTTGCCTCCTCACTATGTTGCAGCTACAAATGGTAAATGTATGAAAGTAAATAATTGATGTTGAAAACAAGAAGTTGAAGTAATTTTTTTTCTTTCGATATCAAATTAAGAATTTTATACTTTATAGTTCTTGATAATTTATGTACGTCTATCAAATTTGAAAATTACTTATTTTCTGTTTTTGTTTCTTATAAAATTGGTATGATAATAGTATGTACCTCATTAGGTTTTTCTGAAGCTAAGTTAATGCATATAGAACACTTAAAACCTGTCACAGGAACATTAGTAAATGCTAGATATTTCTATTTAAACAAAAGAGAGATGAACAGGTGTACACATGCATTGTGTGTATACATGTATTTAAAGCTCTCTATTTGGCCAACAAGAAGTGTTGAAAAACCGGTGGAGGCAAGTGAACAGTCACACCAAACTTCTTGTCTTGGAACCAAAGACTCATGGGATTGTCAGTTTGAGTGGTGTCTCTATAATTTAGTTCCTGGAATTCAAAAGGTATCCTGAAATATAAAGCAAGTTGTATGTGGATAGGAAAACTATTATATTAGGCTTTAAATTAGGATTTTTGGTTTATTGAACAAAGGGAAAAAAACAATGCATAGTAATAGAGATATTGTTATTTAGAGAATATAACAATTGCTCCTCAGAGGACTGAACTCACAGC